CTGAAATTGTACTGCAAGGTACCATACCACAAAGGGAAGGCTGGGATTGAGTTTGGGGGTGATGAATCATAATGGGGGTTCAAAAAATTTTGGGGGGGGATTTATATTTTTTTCCTTTTTTTCTTTTTTTCCTTTTTTGTTTCTTTTAAAATTTTCCATTTTAAGTTGGTTATTTCTGATTTATATTTAAAATCAAATAATAATGATATGGTAGGAGATACACACCAAACAGGATGTGTAAATTATTATATAATAAGTATTGTGCAATAGCAAGAAATTTTCAATTGCACAGTATTGCACAATAGCAAGAAATCTTCAATTGCACAGTATTGCGCAATAGCAAGAAATCTTCAATTGCACAGTATTGCGCAATAGCAAGAAATATCCAATAGCACAATATTGCGCAATAGCAAGAAATTGTCAATTGTACAGTATTGCGCAATAGCAAGAAATATTTAATAGCACAGGATTGTGCAAAAGAAGATACTTCCTATAAATTGCTTATTTCTTGACCAATTTCAATGGGGTTTTATTCTTGATTTCATGGGGTTCTTTAATATGCTGAATCTAACCGTGTATTTAGTTTTTGGATTTTGGGCCCCGTTTTTAAATTGGTCCACATTGAGGTCCAAAGGGTCCAAAATTAAACTTTGTTTGATTTCATCAAAAATTGAATTATTGGGGTTCTTTGATATGCCGAATCTAACTGTATTTAGATTCTTAAATTTTGGTTCCGTTTTCAAATTGGTCTACATTAAGGTCCAAAGGGTCCAAAATTAAACTTAGTTTGATTTTAACAAAAATTGAATTCTTAGGGTTCTTTGATATGCTGAATCTAAACATGTATTTAGATTTTTGATTATGGGCCCAGTTTTCAAGTTGGTCCAAATCGGGGTCCAAAATTAAACTTTGTTTGATTTCAACAAAAATTGAATATATGGGGTTCTTTGATATGCTGAATCTAACCATGTATTTAGATTTTTGATTTTTGGGCCCCGTTATCAACTTTGTCCACATTGAGGTCAAAAGGGTCCAAAATTAAACTTTGTTTGATTTCATCAAAAATTGAATTATTGGGGTTCTTTGATATGCCGAATCTAACCGTGTATTTAGATTCTTAATTTTTGGTTCCGTTTTCAAATTGGTCTACATTAAGGTCCAAAGGGTCCAAAATTAAACTTAGTTTGATTTTAACAAAAATTGAATTCTTAGGGTTCTTTGATATGCTGAATCTAAACATGTATTTAGATTTTTGATTATGGGCCCAGTTTTCAAGTTGGTCCAAATCGGGGTCCAAAATTAAACTTTGTTTGATTTCAACAAAAATTGAATATATGGGGTTCTTTGATATGCTGAATCTAACCATGTATTTAGATTTTTGATTTTTGGGCCCCGTTATCAACTTTGTCCACATTGAGGTCAAAAGGGTCCAAAATTAAACTTTGTTTGATTTCATCAAAAATTGAATTCTTGGGGTTCTTTGATATGCTGAATCTAACCATGTATTTAGATTTTGGATATTGGACCATAATAGGTGAATGTCCAATTTAAAATTTTTAAGTTCTTAGACCACATTCAATCTGTGTTAGAAACCTATGCTGTGTCAAATATTTAATCACAATCCAAATCCAAAGCTGTATCAAGCTTGAATGTTGTGTCCATACTTCCCCCAACTGTTCAGGGTTCGACCTCTGCGGTCGTATCAAGCTGCGCCCTGCGGAGCATTTTATTTGAACTGTTGAAATGTAAGAAGAAGAAATTATATTGTGCCTTTGTAGATTTTGAGAAGGCATTTGACACCACCGGTGTTGACACTGTATGGCGAGATGGTTTGTTTTATAAAATGCTATTGAATAATATAAATGGTAAGATGTATAATGTAATATTGAATATGTACAGTGATATTAAATCTCGTATATCATATAATAATTGTAATTCGGAATACTTTGCTTGTGACAATGGTGTAAGACAAGGGGAAAACTTATCACCTTTCCTATTTTCTTTATTTTTGAATGACTTAGAAAATTTCTTAGTCAGTCAAAATATCACAGGACTTAAAACTATTTCAGAAGATCTGGAAAGAGAATTAGAAATATACTTAAAGTTTTTTATTATATTGTATGCAGATGACGCGGTATTGCTGGCCGAAACAGCACAGGACCTGCAGACTCAACTCAATGCCTTTCATGATTATTGTAAGGTTTGGAAATTGAAGGTAAACGTTGACAAAACCAAAGCTTTAGTGTTTAGTTTTGGACGTTTGCCAAAAAATCTCAGATTTTCTAACAATGACACTAACATTGAGATAGTAAAGCAGTTTAACTATTTGGGAATTATTTTTACTAAAACAGGGAATTTTAATATGACAAAAAAACATTTATCCGATAAGGCCTTAAAAGCCATGTACGAAGTCCTGAAAATGGGAAGGATGTATCAGCTTTCCATAAAATGTCAGCTAGATCTTTTTGACAAAATTGTCAAGCCCATTCTGTTGTATGGGTGCGAAGTATGGGGTTTTAGTAATAATGAGGTATTAGAAAAGATACATTTAAAATTTTGTAAATTACTTTTGAATCTGAAATCCTCAACACCAAATTATATGGTTTACGGGGAACTAGGTCGCCATCCGGTTGACATAGATATAAAAGTTCGAGCAGTATTATTTTGGGCAAATTTGATTTACGGCAAACAAGCAAAGTTTTCCTTTTTATTGTATCAACTTTCTCGCCATATAAATTGGTGACGAATATCACTATATATTTGAATGTAATTTGTTCGATCAAAAACGTACAGAATATTTATCCTCCTATTTTGTACAACGACATAATACATTTAAATTCTCGGAACTTATGTCGAGTACACGGAAACCAGTCCTGAAGAAACTTTGTTTATTTATAAAAAATGTTAATACTTTTGTTTGTCCTCCTGGCTAGTGACTTCTGTAACCTCTCTCCTTGTTTTGTATATATTGTAAATAGTTATTGTTGTTATCTCTGTACTGATATAATGCATTGGCTTTATGAGAATAAAAGAGAACAGTAAAAATAGCTATTACATTTGCAATTTTCCAGCTGGTTGGATATACGCATTGACTAAGGGACTTCTTGAAAATAATTTGAAGAGGTATTGCAACTTTATCTGGACAGATCTTGAGCATCCTGTGGCTAATCACATCTGGTCCCGAGGCTTTATTTGGATCAAGAATATTAATCATATCTATAATTTCTTGAATAGTGACATGTATGTCACAAATTTTATTGTTAGACTTAGTTTCAAATAGTGGTACGTTGATATTTTCTTCACCTAATTTGGATATAACAAAGGAAAAAACATAAAAAATACATTTTTAAACAATCATTTTACAAAATGTTCTTTAGTTTACTAATAAAAAGTGTTAGATTTTTTAACACTTTTACATTACTTAGTGACAATAAGCCTATCATTTTTTGATAACATGGATATCTAGTAAAGTAAATAGGAATATGTTTGTTTCGTATTTTTACGACTGTCGGAAACTGACACTCAAAAAGGTAATTAAATATAGTGCCAATTCCTATATGACATAAGTGGCATATTCTTTCTTCTTTTGGAATGTTTGTCCACCTTCCGGTTTCTATGGGTATTTTTAAATTACAACACCTCAATTTTGTTAATAATTGTCGTTCTCTTGGAAATAATTTTAGAAGGTAGTTTTCCAGATTAAATTCTAATTTAAATTGACCATAACATTTTCCTCTTGATGAATTTTCTATTTGGCTATACCATTTTTGGATAAACTGATCTACGAGCCTTTGCTTTACAGTAACTTTTAATTGGACTGAATTAACTGGAAATTGCTGAGTCCATACATAGCTGAGTCCCGTATTATCAAATATAGACTTTAAATGATTTATCCACTTAAAACTAGTATTACCTGATTGACTAAGCTTATACATAACTCTATATAGCACACTGCTTAATTTCTTTTGATTGACAATAAGTTTATTCCAAAAACAGACCATTTTTAAATTAATAGCTACCTCAATTGGAGTTCTGCCATGTTCTCCATAAGACATGAAATTAGGAGTAGTGGTTCTTAACTTAAGTATATTTTTGCAAAATTGTAGGTGAATTTTTTCTATCATCTGAATGTTTCCAATTCATTGGAGATTAAATTAAAATACTTGTTCAAAAGCTCACATTTTTCTTCATCTTTATAAGCAATTTCGTCTATTTTTTCGGTATTTATAATATTTTGGAGTGGGGGGTGTTATTTGATCTATTGTTAGATTTGATTAACATTTTCATTATTTTCCAATAAGTTTTTGTATTCGATACATTATTTAGAATAATGTGGTCTAAATTACTTTCAAAATGTTCTTTAGCAATTTTTTTTTCATATTATTGACCCTATTTCTCTGTCGCTTGTACTACAAAATATCCGATTGTTTTTTAGATTTAAAAGCCTTTTTTCGTAATCGATCTCTAGTGCGTATTTCTCTCCTAAGCTCGCTATTGAACCATGGTTTGTCGTTTTTTCGTATAGTTACTTGTTTGGTAAGTAGGCACTCTTTCGCAATGTTCAGAAAAGTTACAGTAAATTTTTCACATAATTCATTAACATCCTTGTCATCGGGAAGAATTGCATACCAATCTGTCTCATTCATTATTTTCAAAAATTTATCTTTATCCATCTTATCATATATCCACACTTCTCTTTTAAAAGTACGTGACATTGATGATGGACACTCAAGAAATATTACTGCTGCATTGTGATCACTAATATCTGAGGGAATATCTAAAACATCTGATAAATAATATGACATACAGTCACTTATTATTATAGGATCTAAGAGTGTACTACTCTTATCAGTAACTCTTGTTGCTTTATCAATTACATTTCTTAGATTGAACAAGTCCATATTGTCAATAAGTTTATTATTATTGACATTGAAAAGATCAGAATTTAGATCACCAGTAACCACTATATTTTCGTATATCCCGAATGATGGCGCCACTGGGAAAATATACACGAATTTGCGTGTCGTCCTTGCACAGGGGCCATGCTAATCTTCTCTGTAACCCTAGTATTATTTTACATCATTAAAACGGAAATTCTGTATCAACAACATATAGTTTTTGAAGGAAAGTCTATCACGAGATTTGAAATTAGAGATTTGATGATTTTAAGACAAATTTAAGAGCGTTTTTCGCCGATTTTATTTGCTTTCTATACAATTGTTCAACTATTTTGAAAGAATTCAACCAGTAAAATTACAGATAATTAACTAGATAAATGCATTCTTTTTTCGATTTGTAGTTATAGTTCATCGAGCAAAAGCGGTATACAAAATGCAATTAAAGTCATTTACTGTAGACTTCACTGTAGAAGTCAACAAATCGGTTTTATACCTGAAATATTTGACCCATAAAGCCTCCGGTGCTGTTTATACATGTAAACAAAACGTCTATAAATACATTTTCACCTTTTTACTATTTGTAGGTAACTTTGCCCCTGAAGAAGAGAAGATGGTGAGTTTTTATATTAATAACTACTATCATCATAGTGTTAGATTAAAACTAAAGCATCCCACTTGTTACAATTAGAACGAAACCTAGAATGAATGAGTATCAAATCACTGATTGGATAAACTTATGTGCCTCTGTTGTCCAGTTTATTATAAAATAAGACCATGACCATTAAGGTTCATCATAACAAATGGACAAACATGGCTGTGTTTAGACCTCAAAAACTACTCTGAGTAAAGACTAACCTGTGCAGTTGGAAAAGTTTTAAGGCCTGGCATCCACTAGATATATAAAAGTTAAATGCATTTTGTGTTTCAGAAAGATAAGATATTTTTTGGATTTTGATGGGCATTTTTTTTCCGTTCCTGCAGAAGGTGTAAAAATAAACTAAGTTGGGATACAACTTTGAGATGCTCCCTCTCAGGTAATAACTGTATTGTACTGTATTGATTGTCCTTGATTGGCATGGACAATATACATAGATATCTACACAACTATAGGTGAGTTAAAGGTTGTAACCGAGTGGACAGTATCAAATGCAGTTCAGGTGTTTGTTTATTTTTACACCTTCTGCAGGAACGAAAAAAAATGCCCATCAAAATCCAAAAAAGATTTTAACTTTCTGAAACTCAAAATGCATTTAATTTTTATATATCTATTGGATGCCAGGCCTTAAAACTTTTCCAATTGCACAGGTTAGTCAGTACTCAGAGAAGTTTTTGATGTGTAAATACAGCCATTTTTTTCCATTTGTTATGATGAACCTTAACATAACAACAATTATGTAGGTACTGTTGGACATTGTTGTGCGTTTTACTTTTCTGTCATATGGTTAACATGGGCATAACTAGGATAGGGACATGTTTTTTGTGCCGTGACGTTAGTAAATACTTTGCATTATACATATATAATATTAACTTACTTCGGATAATATAAAGACCATGCAGATGTTACATGTTAGTATTTTTTCTTTTATTTATTTATTTATGAATTATCGGGCAATAAGATGTATAGAATTTCATACACTTTTTAGCTCACCTGGCCAGAAGGGCCAAGTGAGCTTTTCTCATCACTTGGCGTCCGTCGTCCGTCGTCGTCCGGCGTCGGCGTTAACTTTTTACATTTTGAACTTCTTCTAGAGAACCACTGAATGGAATGAAACCAAACATGGCATGAATGTTCCTTATGAGGTGCTGACCAAGTGTTGTTACTTTGTAGCGGATCCATCATCCAAGATGGCCGCCAGCGGGGGACTTAGTTTAACATAGGACACTATGGGAAATACATACAAATGTCTTCTTTTAGAGAACCACTGAATGGAATGAAATCAAACATGGCATGAATGTTTCTTATGAGGTGCTGACCGAGTGTTGTTACTTTGAAGCCGATCCATAATCCAAGATGGCCGCCAGAGGGGGACTTAGTTTAACATAGGACCCTATGGGAAATACATACAAATGTCTTCTTTTAGAGAACCACTGAATGGAATGAAACCAAACATGGCATGAATGTTCCTTATGAGGTGCTGACCAAGTGTTGTTACTATGAAGCTGATCCATAATCCAAGATGGCCGCCAGCAGGGGACTTAGTTTAACATTGGACCCTATGGGAAATACATACAAATGTCTTCTTTTAGAGAACCACTGAAGTGAATGAAACCAAACATGGCATGAATGTTTCTTATGAGGTGCTGACAGAGTGTTGTTACTTTGAAGCCGATCCATAATCCAAGATGGCCGCCTGCAGGGGACTTAGTTTAACATGGGACCCTATGAGAAATACATACAAATGTCTTCTTTTAGAGAACCACTGAAAGGAATGAAACCAAACATGGCATGAATGTTCCTTATGAGGTGCTGACCGAGTGTTGTTACTTTGAAGCCGATCCATAATCCAAGATGGCTGCCAGCGGGGGACTTAGTTTAACATAGGACCCTATGGGAAATACATACAAACGTCTTCTTTTAGAGAACCATTGAATGGAATGAAACCAAACATGGCAAGAATGTTCCTTATGAGGTGCTGACCAAGTGTTGTTACTTTGAAGCTGATCCATCATCCAAGATGGCATCCAGTGGGGGACTTAGTTTAACATAGGACCCTATGGGAAATACATACAAATGTCTTCTTTTAGAGAACCACTGAATGCAATGAAACCAAACATAGCATGAATGTTCCTTATGAGGTGCTGACCAAGTGTTGTTACTATGAAGCCGATCCATCATCCAAGATGGCAGCCAGCGGGGGACTTAGTTTAACATAGGACCCTATGGGAAATACATACAAATGTCTTCTTTTAGAGAACCACTGAATGCAATGAAACCAAACATATCATGAATGTTCCTTATGAGGTGCTGACCAAGTGTTGTTACTATGAAGCTGATCCTTCATCCATGATGGCTGCCAGATGGGGACAATGTTTAACAAAGGACCCTATGGACAATACATACAAATGTCTTCTTTTAGAGAACCACATACTGAATGGATTGAAACCAAACATGGCATGAATGTTCCTTAGGAGGTGCTGACTAAGTTTTGTTACTTTGAAGCTGATCCTTATCCATGATGGCAGCCAATGGGGGGACTTCTTTTAACATAAGACCCTATGGGAAATACATACAAATGCTTCTTCTAGAGGTGCACTGAATGGAATGAAACCAAAACATTGCATAAATGTTTCTTATGAGGTGCTGATTAAGTGTTGTTTCTTTGTTGCCGATTTACTGTTTAAGATGGCCACCAGGATTTTTTATTAAATTACAGGACCAATATTAAACCAAATTTGGCCTCACTCATTATTAGGGTATCTGTTATGATTTTAATCTATTTTTACATGATTTCCAAAACCAAAGTAGAATCAGGTGAGCGACACAGGCTTTTTATGGGGGGGGGGGGGGGGGGGGGGCTAGGATGAAATTTGAAAAAAATAGACAGGATAGGAATTTTGAGTAAAAAAAAGGCAGGATGAGATTATTTGCAAAAAACAAGAGGCTCTCAAGAGCCTGAATCGCTCACCTGTTATTTTTTTTTGCTTAAATCTTTCAATGATTTTTTTTGCTTTTTAGCCATAGTGTCTATGTTTCTTGACGTACAAGGAAATGAAATACAAAATTTATACTAGATTCATTTGAGAAGATTTTTAAAGTTAAAAAACATAAAACATCTTGTGTAAAATTGTCCTTAAAGGGCAATAACTCCTTAAGGGGTCAATTGACAATTTTGGTCATATAAACTTTTTTGTAGATCTTACTTTGCTGAACATTTTTTGTTGTTTACAGTTTACAGTTTATCTTTATCTTCAATAATATCCAAAAAAATTCGTAAGGGTTCCGCGGAACCCAGTGTCTCGCCTACTTTTTCTGTTAATCGCAGGCTCAACAAAAATGAGGAAGTAAATCAATAAAAATATTCCTCTTGATACTATCTTTTGATTGTAAGAAGGTTCTGTCCAAGTTTGGTAAACTGGAAGAACACAAAATTTCCTTCTAGATACTAGCATTTGATCATAAACAAGCTCTTGTCCAAGTTTGGTACAAATCCAAAATAGAATAAGAAAGTTATTAAAATTTTAAAAACTTTAACCACAAAGTGAATGTGTTGTTTCTTGGCAGAAAATCTAAGTCCATTTAAAAGTAAAATACGGAAAAAATGGATTTATTTTTTTACAAAATTTCCTTCTAGATACTAGCTTTTGATCATAAAAAAGCTTCTGTTCAAGTTTGGTACAAATCCAAAATAGTATAAGAAAGTTATTAAAATTTTAAAAACTTTAACCACAAAGTGAATGTGTTGTTTCCTGGCAGAATATCTAAGTCCATTTAAAAGTAAAATAAGGAAAAAATTGATTTATTTTTTTACAAAATTTACTTCTGGATAATATCTTATGATCATAAACAAGCTTCTGTCCAAGTTTGGTAGAAATCCAGGATAGTTTAAGAAAGTTATTAAAATTTTAAAAACTTTAACCAGAGTGAATGTAATATTTCCCGGCAGAAAAACTAAGTCCATTTATAAGTAAAATACGGAAAAAATAGAATTTTATTTTTACAAAATTTACTTCTGGATACTATCTTATGATCATAAACAAGCTTCTGTCCAAGTTTGGTAGAAATCCAGGATAGTTTTAGAAAGTTATTAAAATTTCAAAAACTTTAACCATAGAGTGAATATTTGTGGACGCCGCCGCCGCCGCCGCCGCCGATGCCGACGGAATGTAGGATTGCTATGTCTCGCTTTTTCGACTAAAGTCAAAGGCTCGACAATAATAACCATAAACTGCAAAATTTCCTTAAAACAACCAATTTAGTGGCAGTAACCAAACAATGGGTTGTTCGGTGTGTCTGAAAATTTCAGGGCTGATAGATCTTGACCTTTTGAACATTTTTACCCCATGTCAGATTTGCTCTAAATGCTTTAGTTTCTGAGATATAAGCCAAAAACTGCATTTCACCCCTATGTTCTATTTTTAGCCATGGCGCCCATGTTTGTTGATTGATCAAAATTTCAGATACAATTCATAAACTAGATTCCTAAAGGAACATTCATTCAAAGTTAAGAAGTATTAGGCACAATAGTTTCAGAAAGATTTTTAAATGTTAGCAAACTTGATGAACACATTGGGTAAAATTGTCTTTAAAGGGCAATAACTCCTTAAGGGGTCAATTGACAAATTTGGTCATTTAACTTTTCTGTAGATCTTACTTTGCTGAACATTATTGCTGTTTACAGTTTATATCTATCTATAATAATATTCAAGATAATAACAAAAAACTGCAAAATTTCCTCAAAACTACCAATTTAGTGGCAACAACCCAACAATGGGTTGTACGATTTGTCTGAAAATTTCAGGGTTGATAGATCTTGACAAATTGAACAATTTTACCCGTGTCAGATTTGCTCTAAAAGCTTTACTTTTGGAGATATAAGCCAAAAACTGCATTTGACCCCTATGTTCTATTTTTAGCCATGGCGGCCATGTTTGTCGATGGATTAAAACTTTGGA